GGGGGGGGGGGGGAGGAGCAGAGGGAGAATCTCTAGCAGACTCTGCACTGAGCACAGCCCGACACGGGGTTCAGTCTCATGACCCTGAGATCATGACCTGAGCTGAAATCAAGAGGATGCTTACCCGACTGAGCCACCGAGGTACCCTTCAAATCTGTATCTTTTGTCCAGATTTTTCTCTTGTGTTTCAGGCTTGTATTTCCATCCCTCTCCTGGACCTGTCCTACTTGATGTCCCATGTCACATATTCAAAAGCATACACAGCATTAATTCTCTCCTTGGAATGACATAGCGTAACAATAGCAATTGCTTCTCCACAGCTGCCCATCTTGGTCAGTGGCCCACCTGGTCATGTAAGGCAGACTCTTGTGAGTCACCTCAGCTGCTCTCTGTGCTTGAATGCAGCCATGTCTGAGGGCACCGGCTTCTCTCTCACACAGCTCTTGTGAAGCCGTTCTCTTGTCTTGGTTCTCATTGCCCCTGCCATAGTTTAGGTGTTCCTCCTTTTCCCCCTTCATAGCACAGTCCTTAAAGCCCATACTCTGAAGCCCGATGGCATGGGTTCTGATTTTGGATCTGTCACGTATTAGTTATGTGACTTTGGTCAAGTTTTATAACTTCTCCGTGCCTCAGTTCCTTCATTAGTAAAATAGGGATAATAATACATTGTGAGGATGAAATGTGTTAACAGATATCGAGTGCTTAAAATAATGCCTGACACTGTTCTAGCCACCCTCTCTCTCTCCGGTCTGTTCTTCTAAAATGTTTTCTACTCTGCTACGGCATCAGCTTTCAGAAACGGACATCTGACCACATCATTCTCTTCTTAAAATCTCTGTGGCTTCTGATGGTCTGACCACCACTTCTATCCAGTTCGTCTCCATTGTTCCTTTTCCTTCGCTCACTGCTACAGCTATATTCAGTAATCAGCAGTTTTCCAAATAAGATGTGACCGTGCGTGCTTTGGCATCTTTGTACTATTTCTTCTGCTCGAAGTGTTTTTCCTTACCAGTTTTATCTGCGAGTCTTCGGCGATCCTTCACGACCATGTTTATTTTATTTTTTACATTCACTTCCCACTTTTTTTAAGAGAGAGTGTGTGTGTGAGTGGGGGGAATGGCAGAGGGAGAGAACCTCAAGCAGACTCCCTGCCAAGCATGCAGCACGACTTGGGGGCTCAATCTCACAATCTATGAGATTGTGACCTGAGCCGAAACCAGGAGTCGGACACCCAGCTGACTGAACCACCCAGGCGCTCCTCACTTCTCACTTTTTAACCAGTCACATCCATCAATTAACCAATCACAGCCAGTAGTTACTGAAACCCAAGTATAATGGTGTTCTGGAAGATACAAGAAAATATAACATGCTCTTGAGGAGCATGCAATCTAGTAGGGGAACAGGACAGAGAGACTTGAAACAGCAAGGGACTGTCCCTGAGAATGCTAAGTAGAGCACACATAAGTAGAGCGGCATTTCAAAGAAGGGCAGAATCACCGCTCACAGATACAGGGGAGTGAATGGGGTCTTAGGGGGTAAGCCTAAAGGCTTCATGGAAGAGTGAGATTTGAGTTGGGCCTGGAAGGATGATAAGATCTGCATAGGTGGAGGGAGGGGGTGGATCCTGTGGCTCAGAGAACAGAAGGCACAGAGGTGGCAGTTGTCAAGCTGAGTGGAGGAAGCCCGATAAGAAAACGTGCGTGTTGAGTAGTGCTGAGGTCACGAGGCCGTGTGGAGTCACGGGGTTCTCCAGAGCCCGGAGCATCTTGAGGGACTGGTGTGTTGTAATGTTCTACCCTGTGCCGGGCCACACTGGAGCCTGACGCAAAGGGATAACTCAGCAACATTGATCTCATCTTCATTCAAAATTTTGGTATTCTGTTCATCATGGATTTTTTTTTTTTGGCATTAAATTTGATTTTTTAAAATATTGCATTAAAACATGATTTATTTTGGTTACTGCATTTTTTGGCACCCCCTTAAATTTTGTGCCCGAGGTCATTTCCTCACTTACTTCGGCCCTAGTCCCAGCCCTGTGTTCTGGTCCTGAAGTTCAGTAGAGGGGACATGGGTATTTACTTTATTGTTATTATTATTAATTATGGCTTACTCATGTTATACATGTTTCTTGATTAGTAGACAGTATTTCATAAAAAGCAATTAAGGTAAATTAGGATTTTAAGAAGATTAATTTGGAACTTTGGAGCCTGAAAACCATGAAAGGGAAAATAATTATGTTTCCGAGTCAATTTCTGGGGCACAGTAACTTTCTTTTGCTGCAGTGCATGCAGTGCAAGCAAAAAGAGTTGTTTTGCTCATGTCTAAATTCGGGGGGAGATCCCTGGAGGGTCGGGGTACTAGAGGCTGCTGTCCACTTGGAGACAGACATCAAGCAACTGAGTTGCTGCAGCCGGAGTGTTCTGCCTGAGGCAGGCTCCCACAAATGGGCTGCACAGGCTAGGCTCGGCCCCCATCTCACATAAAGCAAACCTGTCTAGCCCTGCTCAAGAAGTAGCTGCTCACTGGCCACAATGCTTACACTGTGGGCCATTACACGTGGGCCATGGCCCAAGAAGCAATGGAAGATTCATGAACTCTAAATTTCTCAGGGCTACGTGTATCCAGGAAAGAGGTGATGTTTGACACGAAGAGTATTACTAGTACATCTAAAAATGTGAAATCTATTGTTCATTAGTACACTCGTGACTCACAGGAGATGATTTGGCACCAGAGAAGTCAGTGAGCATCAGCACAAATCTCAGAGAAGGCTGAGGGGAAGGTTGTAAGGGGCAGGCTGCATCCTGTGACTGCCACCAGGCGCACTGCCCTGTCATTTCATGGGGACCCGCCACATATCCAGCACGAGCTGCTTCAGTCTCAGAGTAGACATTCTGGCACAATGTGTAGAAGCCACAGCCTGCATTTTACCATCAAATGAGTGGGTAGTCACAGAAAATGGCTGCTTCCTGAGGCCTCGGACCATCATCTGCTCACCACACACCTGCTGGATTGCTGACCCCTCTTGTCGGCATAGCCAGCAAAGTTGTTCTTCAGAACTGAAGGAGAGATAAACGAGTTTTCCAGACAAACAAAAGCTGATGGAGTTCATCACCACTACAGTGGCCTTACAAGAAATGTTAAAGGGAGTTCTTCAGGCTATTGAGCAAAACACCTGAACAGGATGAAAACTTCTGTGCAAGAATTGCTTCTGGGAGAGGTATTAGAATGAATGGCCATCGTCAAGCTAGAACTCAGCCACTGCAGGACCCTTATTGCTTAGAGCTACCTGGAGTCCACATGGGGAAGAGTCATGCAGCCTATGGATTTTCCTATAGTTGTCTTTATCGGTACTCCACTTCAGTCTCGGTGAAACACTGGGATAGTGTCCAAGGCTACTGGGATCTTCAAAGTGCAGGCTCCTTCCCAGGGAGCAAATGTCTTAGAATCGTACCAGACCTTCTTTGATCCTGGCAGAAACATACTGACTACATGGTAGAGTTAGGTTCTCTGACTGGATGAAACCATAAAGCACTTCTTTTTAGGCAACTCTCTGTTGAGTCTGGCTTCTTGAGCCCTATCCTGAGATGCTGAGCTTCCATGTTCCTTCAAGATCATGTTTAAACCTCCTGTAAAAACCTTGCCCTCTCCATGTATGGTTGGTCCCTCCCTTAACACTCCTCATGATGTATTTCAGTGTTACGGTTTCCATGTCCATCTGTTCCACAAGGCTGTGAACACCGTGGTGGTGGGGACTGTAGCCTTTGCAGGGTCTTGAACAGTGATTGGCCCAGAACAGATACTCCGTCAACATTGAATCGGTAATCAGGGGTTCAGAGTTTACTAAGATTTTTATACTTCTTCCTTCAATTTCTTCAGGCTGCAGGAATTAGTCGATCGAGTGCTGGAATGTTTTCAGGCATCTGGACTAATAGTGAAAGAGTGGAATAGTGTGAAACTCCATGCGACAGTGATGAACACTCTATTCAGGAAGGACCCCAATGGTAAGTCCCCCATAGAACTGTAGCATAGTTTAGGATCAGCAAGGCCTTGTGATATCCCTGGGGTTCGAACAAGACGGGCTATCAAAGAATCTCTGGTAATCTTTATTTGAATCTTTAACTTGTTTTGTTGAGCACAGTGGAAGTGGTGAGGGAGATATCTAGCGTGGGAGTGTGACATTCCAGATCTTTGATTTCTGTTGCACATAGGGTTTCCAGATTTAGCAAAAAGAAATACAAAATGCCCAGGTAAATTTTAGGTACACAGTGAATAATTATTTTAGTATAAGTGTGTCTCTTGCACTACTTGGTGGCTTTTTGAAAAGAAGAAAGAAGGAAGGAAGATTAGCTAATAAAAGTAAAGGTTAGGCCAATGGTTCTCAACTACGGGCGACTTTGTGCGCCCCACCCCTCCCCCCGCCCCAGGACATTCGGTTGTCACACTTAGGGGTTGAGGGTGCATTGCTGCTGGCATCTAGTGGGAAGAGGCCAGGGATGCTGCTTAACTCTCTACAATGGACAGGACAGCACACCTCAACAAAGAAGTATCTAGAAATGTCAGTAGCACCAAGGTTGAGAAACCTGGTGTTAGAGTAATAATTTTTCCTCTCATGGAATCTGAGCCTTTATATAAAAATGCCTTGTTTTGACCCTTGATTTGGGATAATTATCTACATTTCAAAAAGTATTTTTCTTTTCTTCCATTGTCTTCTCCACCCTACCCATAAAAAGAACCCATAAAAAGCAATTAAGGTAAATTAGGGTTCTTTTCTAGCACATTCAGGATCTGTCTGATCAGGAGCCGCAAATTCAGATTATATGTAGCTTCTCCTTCTAAAACTTGTTTGAAATATATCAGCACTAAAATCCTATATTCAGATTTTATTTTCTTTGTTTAGGACCTGACCTTAGTTTTAGAAAGTTTAGGTTGGAAGAGGACTCCATCAGGACTTGAACCCATAAACTATTTGTAGATTTATACTTTAGGACAGTTTGTGTGTTCCTTTTTGTCAAAGTACAGTTGACCCTTGAACAACACAGTTTGCACTGTGCTGGTCCACTTATACACGGAATTCTTTCAATAACTACAGTATAGTACTGTAAACGTGTTTTCTGTTCCTTAAAATTTTCTTAATATTTTCTTTTTTCTTGGGGTGCCTGGATGGCTCAGTTGGTTAAGCGTCTGCCTTAGGCTCAGGTCATGATCCTGGAGTCCCAGGATCAAGCCCCGTATTGGGCTCCCCACTCAGCAGGGAGTCTGACCCTCCCCCCTCTCATACTCTCTCTTTCACTCTCTCAAATAAATAAAATCTTGAAAAAAATACTTTCTTTTTCTTGTTTATTGTAAGAATGCAGTATATAATACATATAACATACAAAATATGTATTAATTGACTGGTTATATTATCAGTAAGGCTTTTGGCCAACAGTAGTAGTTTAGTTTTAGGGGAGTCAAAAGTTATACACGAATTTTCAACTACATGGGGGTTGGTGCCCCTAATCCCCATTGTTCAAGGGTCAACTGTACATCTTTTTATTTCTCTCGGATATATACCAAAGATCCCAACTGGAAGTCATTTAATATTAACCTGATTTTCTTTTCTTTTCTTTCTTTTTTTTTTTTTAAGATTTTATTTATTTGTTTGACAGAAAGAGACAGCGAGAGAGGGAACACAAGCAGGGGGAGTGGGAGAGGGAGAAGCAGGCTTCCCGCCGAGCAGGGAGCCCGATGTGGGGCTCGATCCCAGGACCCTGGGACTATGACCTGAGCCGAAGGCAGATGCTTAACGACTGAGCCACCCAGGCACTCCAACCCGATTTTCTTAGAGCCACTGTAGGACTAAGAGATGTGTAACTGTCCACATTTTGGTTCTAGTGTTAATGTTTTGTGATGTTAGATTGTATTTTATTTAAGATTTTTCTAAATAAATCACTATTTTACCTTTGGGAGTACTGAGATCAAAAATGGTTCAAATGACTAAGTCAAAGCCCATAGACTCTTGTTTGGGTACTTAATAGAATCCAAAACTCTATACTTGTTCTGATGGAATACTTTTTTTTTTTCATTTGGGTAGTAGTATTGCAGAAGAATATTTGGAATTTTTGGGAAAAAATTTCTGGACTATTTCATATTTGTATATGTATGTACCTTGTCCAGTGGGAACATTTAAAGGAGTTTGTGGTATTTATTTTGTTCTGGATGGTCAGTTTTAAGTTTGGAAATATACTTAGATCCTCTGAGGTGATGTACATTTTAACATCACTATGTAAAGTTCTAGAGCTCTAGAGTATACTCTAAATTCTTTGGTTCAGAAGATATATTGTATCCAGTACCATCCAATAGAACTCCCTGTGATGATGGAAATATTCTGTACCTGTGATGTCCAATATGGTAGCCACTATCCACATGTAGTTATTGAGCAGTTAGAGGTGGCTGGTGAGGCTGAGAAAGTAAACTTTTCATTTTAATTAATTTAAATTAATTAAATTTAAATAATCACATGTGACTAGAGGCTACTAATTCGGACAGTGCAGGTATAGACAGTATTTTATTAGACATTTAATGCTATCAGCAGTACATTCTGAAAATGTCCTAGTCTTTAAATCTTACTTCAGAACTCCTAAGATATTCCATTATTAATAACCTTTTGACATAAAAGAGGGAATCTGTATCTTCTAAATTGTGTGGATCCAGATTTATATTCTATTGGCAGTAGAGCTCTATGTAAGAAAATGTTCTGTGTTCACGTCTGGTTATCCTCCGTAGTGTAGTGGTTATCACATTCGCCTCACACAGTCTAGTTATCCTTTCCTACTTAGAGGTAGTTTGAATATAACACCTTTATTGAGATACAATTCACATATTATATGATTCACTCATTTAAAATAGAGAATTCAGGGTCGCCTGGGTGGCTCAGTCGGTTGAGCATCCGACTCTTGATTTTGGCTCAAGTCATGATCTCAGGGTCGTGAGATTGAGCCCCACGTCGCGCTATGCACTTGGTGGGAGGTCTTCTTGAGGTTCTCTCTTTCCCCCTCCCTCTGCCCCTCTCCCTGCTCACATGTGCACACGTGCACACACGCTCTCTCCCTCCCTCAAATAAATAAATAAATCTTTAAAAAAATAACAGAATAAAAATAATGTAATTCAATGATTTTTAGTGTAGTCAGAGTTACACAACCATTACCATGATCAATTCTAGAACATTTTCATCAGAAACCCCATTGGCAGTGTGACTCCTCATTTCCTCCTAAAGTTTTAGTCCTAGGTACCATCAGTCTACTTTCTGTCCTATGAATTTGCCTTTTCTGGATATTTTGTATAAATAGAATCATGCAATATGTGATGTTCTGTGACTGGTTTCTTTCACCTAGCCTAATGTTTACAGGGTTCATCCATGTGATAACATGTATTATACCTCATTTCCTTTTTAGTGCTAAATAATCTTCCATTGTGTGGATATACCACATTTTATCCATTCCTCGGTTGATGGACATTTGTATTGTTTCTCCTTTTTGATTATTACAGTTAATGCTGCTTTGAACAATTACAAGTTTTTGTGTGGGGATATCTTTTCACTTCTCTTGGGTATATACTTAAGATTGAAATTTCTGGGTCCTATGGTAACCAGTGTTTAACTTTTTGAGGAACTTCCAGACTGTTTTCCAAAGTGACTGCACCATTTTACATTCCTACCAGCAGTGAACGAGGGTTCCATTTTCTCCACATCTTTGCTAACACTCGTTATTATCTATCTTTTTGATTATTGCCATCATTTTAGATGTGAGGTAGTATCTTATTTTAGTTTTGATTTGCTTTTCCCTGATGGCTAATGCAACTTACAGGTTTTGAACCTATCATTAAGCATTTCAGTTTTCAGGGGCGCCTGGGTGGCTCAGTTGGTTAAGCATCCAGCACTTGATTTTGGCTCAGGTTATGATCTCAGACTTGTGAGATCAAGCCCTGTGTGGGGCTCTGCATTGGGTGTGGAGCCTGCTTAAGATAATCTCTTCCTCCGCCCTCACAAAAAAACCATTTCAATCTTCAGGTATCATGACTGCCTTTTTTTTTTTTTTTTAAGTAGGCTCCATGCCCAGCATGGAGCCCAATGAGGGGCTTGAACTCAGGACCCTGAGATCAAGACCTGTACTCAGATCAAGGGTTGGACGCTTAACTGACCAAGCCTCCCAGGTGCTCCTCATTACTGCTTTTTAATTGATATTTGTTTAGTATGGATTTACTTTAAAGTTTCACATCGCCTCTTGGGGCACCTGGGTGGTGCAGAGTTGGTTGAGTGTCTGACTCTCGGTTTTGACTCAGGTCGTGATCTCAGGATCGTGAGATTGAGCCCCACTTCGGGCTGTGTGCTCAGTGCAGAGTCTGCTTGGGATTTTCTCTCCCTCTCCCTCTGCCCCTCTCCCCACCCCCCCACCCCCAAGTGCGCATGCACGTGCATGCTCTCGCTCTCTCAAATAAATAAATGAATCTTTAAAGTTTCACATCTCTTAACAGGGGACCTGTTTTTAATTTGTGAAATATACATGGTATTGGGATCTTTGATTAAGAGAATACTCTCTCATGAGAAGTTACTGAAGTGTAATTCCAGTGGGCTAACATATATTGTGCTCATGGCGTTAGCGGCCTAGATATACTTTACCAATTCTGACTTGGTAGTCTCCATCGATATATATAGTAAAAGAGCATATTCAGAAGTGGAAATACAAATATTTTTGAGTGTCTGTTGGTGGGCAAGAAAGGGTTGATATTTTAGAAAATACTCTGAGGGTTAAATGTTTCTTAAGGATGCTTTGAATTTCCTATACCTTGGATTCTTCTCTGGTTGAATTTTTACTTGAAAAGGGCATAGAATAAGGTGTTTCACTCTTTCTTACCTGTCATCCCTTTCCTTTGAAATCCTTTTTCCTGCTATACTTTAAGGATGTCTTTTGGGATAAGCAAGCTAAATTAATACAGGGTCATAGATTTGCTGCATTTCTGTGTAGAATGTCTGTAAAGATACCTTTGATTGCAACTGAAAGGGGTTCTCTCATTTGGGGGGAGTCCTTAAACCAACCCACTTCATGTTGGTTGCAACCCAAATCAATGTCACCAGCATTTTGAGTACTTAATGTGTGAATTTTTGTATATTTTTACATACTTAAAAATGCATATAGCTTATACAAATCTTGGGTTTTTAGACCACAAGGAACCTTTGGAGATCACCTAGTCTTTTTTTTTTTTTAAAGACTTCATCTATTTGACAGAGAGAGAGACGAGGAGAGAGGGAACACAAGCAGGGGGAGTGGGAGAGGGAGAAGCAGGCCTCCCGCCGAGCAGGGAGCCCGATGCGGGGCTCGATCCCAGGACCCCGGGATCATGACCTGAGCCGAAGGCAGACGCTTAACGACTGAGCCACCCAGGCGCCCTTGGAGATCACCTAGTCTTAACCTGTAACTGTGTAAATGAACTGAGGTCCATAGAGGAGACATAATTTGCCTAAGAATATGGCTCATTTTACACACAAACACACCCCCACATCTTCTTTATCCATTCATCTGTCGTTGGACATTTACGCTGCTTCCATATCTTGGCTATTGTAAATAATTCTGCAGTAAACATAGGGATACATATATCTTTTTGAATTAGTGTTTTCATTTTCTTTAAAGATGGAAGTGGAATTACTGGATTGTATGGTATTTCTATTTTACTTTTTTTTAAGGAAACTTCATACTCTTGCTCCAGTTTGCATTCCCATTAGCAGTGCATGAAGGTTCCTTTTGCTCTATGTCCTTGCCAATACTTGTCATTTCTTGTCTTTTTGATGAATTGGTAAAGATGTGTGGGTGTGTGTGTACATGTATATACATACCCAACAGAATGCAACTCAGCCAAAAAAATAATGAACTTTGCCATTTGTGACAACATGGATGGACCAAGAGCATATTATGCAAAGTGAAATAAATCAGACAGAGAAAGACAAATACCAAATGATTTTACTTATATATAGAATCTGTACATTTTTTAAAAAGATTATTTGTTTATTTATTATTTGAGAGAGAGAGTGCACCGAGGGAGAGGAGAGAGAGAAGCAGACTCCCTGCTGAACAGAGAGCCTGACTTGGAGCCCGATTCCAGGACCCTGAGATCATGATCTGAGCCAAAGGCAGATGCTTAACTGACTGAGCCACCCAGGCACCCCTTTACTTATATGTAGAATCTAAAAAACAAACAAAAAACAAAAGCAGATGCATAAATATAGAGAACAAACTGGTGGTTGCCAGAGGGGAGATTGGGGTGGCGTTGGCAAAATAGGTAAAGGGGATTAAGAGGTACAAACTTCCAGTTATAAAATAAATAAGTTACAGGGGTGAAAAGTACAGCATAGGGAAGACAGCCAATACTATTGTAATAACATTGTATGACAGATGGTGTGTGGCAGATGGTGGCTATACTTATCATGGTGAGCACTGAGTATGTATAGAATTGTCAAATCACTCTGTTGTACACCTGAAATTAATATAACATTGTATGTCAACTATACTTTAAAAAAAAGAATATGGTTAATTACATAGGTAACGTACCTTGAGTACTTGGATGGTGTTGAATGAATAAATGTATACTGAATTGATGACAGAGCTGAGGCTGGATTCTGGGCCTCTTGACTCAGACTGATGTTTTTCCCTCCTATTAAGCCATGTTCCAGATAGTACAGATTTTGCTAGTTGTACTATAGAAACCCAAAAGAAAACAAAATGTAAATAACCCAAGCTTCTCTTATAACATTATCTTTGAAATATTTACAGCTGAAGGCAGGTACAATCTCTACACAGCGGATGGGAAATACATCTTCAAGGAGAGAGAATCATTTGATGGGCGAAACATTTTAAAGGTCAGTACGTAGCAGGGTGAATTGGAAATCCTTTGGTATGTGTCCTAAAATGAGGAAAACAAGTCGTTCTCCTTTTAACAATAAAGTATATTTTTCTCATGCTTCTCATGAGGATCATTGATTCAAAGGCCTGGCTAAAAAAAAAAAAAACTATTTTTTAATGTCCTAAAGGAAGAGAAATCTTTTTGAATCTGTTGAAGCTGTGATATCTCTTAGAGTACTTGAAATTGGTGAGTTCAGAAACAAGTACCCTGACTACATGGACTCACAGGAATACGTTGATTTTAACCTGGTGAGTTTTACTCTGTATTTTACCTCTAGAGGTCTGAGTTTGCAATTTTTTTTTTAAGTGAAAAAGAATTGTTTGTTTTGTTCTAGTAGACTTTTTTCTTCACCCACAGTCCCTCTCTAAAGTTGCTTTGTAATCTGTTTTTACTCAGGAATAGCCCATGTTTTGAAAAGTAGGTGGTCTCTTTCTGACAGTTGAGGCTTTGCTTCCTGAGTGTTAAATTAATCTATGAAATTTCCATAAAAAGGCTTCTTCAGGATTGCATTTATGTTTCTCCTACAGACCACATTCTGTAATATCCATGATTTATGCTGTCTCTGTCAGGTTAGCATGTCCTTGTGCCTCTGGGCACACGGAAACAGAAGTTGATACAATGGAGGGGTTTGGATTCTTCATTTCACTTGTTCCGTAATGGTTTAGGTCATACCTTTTTTTTTTTTTTTTGAAGATTTTATTTATTTATTTGACAGAGAGAGACACAGCGTGAGCAGGAACACAAGCAGGGGGAGTGGGAGAGGGAGAAGCAGGCTTCCCACGGAGCAGGGAGCCTGATGCGGGGCTCGATCCCAGGACCCCGGGATCATGACCTGAGCCGAAGGCAGGCGTTTAACGACTGAGCCACCCAGGCGCCCCTAGGTCATACCTTTTCAAGGCCATACATTTTTTGGAGCTGGGAGGAGAGTGTATGTATATAACTTCAGAATAAGCTTTAGCTTTAGAAAGGCTTTTTCTTTTTCCTTCCCCACCCCATCCTCCATTGCCTTATCCGGTCACTTGGCATTTTTCTTGCGAAATGCCTAATGTGACCCCGTTACCTCTAATGACATCACTTCAGCAACTGCAAACTTCTTACCGCAGAGCCCGGCCTGGCAGTGACCGGATTCCCTCTTAGGTAGGCATTCAGGCTCCTGCCCTGCAGAGCTATGTCAATTTCTTCTTTTCCTTGCTATCTTTCCTCTTTTTTCAGTGCTCCTCTTGTTGTCAAAGTAGCTATGGTAGCTTTGGTTTGAGTGGCAAGCTGCTAATGAATTCAGCTATAGTTTACTGATTTTCCCAGGCCCCTAGCTTCAGTGTGATATGAATCTTTCTCCTCCTCCATCTCATTTCCTGGGGCTTTTCCAATAATAGCATTAATCACTTTGCTTTTTTGTTGTTGTTGTTAGTTTGATTAAGAAAGAAAGTAGACCGAATGGGGAAAGAAATCTATAGGAATGACTCAAGCCACCTTGATTCTTTTGAAATCAGAATTAAAGCTCTGAAGGTGTGCTGATGAAAGTCAAGTGTGAGGTGCCGGGCCATCTGTAAGAGGGAGGTGATGGCAGAGAGCGTGTGTGGTGGCTGCAGGAACGGTAGGGGTCTCTCGCCTGATACTTCGTTTCTCTCACTCTGGAGAGCCAGTCTTCCAATTTAAAGATGCTTTGCCTCCAAGTCTTCCTCACCACCCCAGTAATGACATGGGTGCAGCTCCCTCTAGTGTTAACAAGGGCTTGCTATGTTAGTAGTACCCTCACCGGTTCATGCCTCCGCAGAGTTTTAGAGCTGGGCTCAGCCAGGGACTTCCAGACCATTTAATCCACTTTCCCGCTTCAGTCTCTCAGGGCACAAGATCCAGTGTGGTTAAAGCGACTTGCCAAAGGTTACCGCTAGTTAGTAGCTGAGTCTGAATCAATAAAAAGATTCAAATCACAGGGTTAGCATTGTTTCTGTTGCCTCCCATAAAGATGCTTAGTGTTTAGGTAGAGATCATTAGGTATTTGAAGTTGGGCATATCTGTTTGAACTGTGATAAAGTCTGATTAGAAGTCATTTCATAAATGTTGGGGCAATGGTGTGTGCCAGTTAGTCTAAAACCGTGGCTAATTAAGAATTAGACTTGAATTGAATGCAGTACTAACACACCAACAGAAGTACTTACTGAGTGTATACCATCTGCCAGAGCATGTGTCCTGCAGATAAAAGTCATTATGATACAGTCCCTACCTTCCAGGAGCTTCCTGTCTTTGAGGAGTACAGACGGTTAATAGGCAATTATAGTACAAAGTGATCGGGGTGAGTTATGAATATGGAGAAGTCCCTTTGAACACAGATAGAACAAAGTGTGCTTTGATACAGTGTCCAGTATTTTACTTTTTAATCATTAGCTGCAGAAAATGTAAGCTTTCACCTACATTCAGTCAAAGGAATTCACTTTTCTTTGAGAATAAAGGTAAAACATGGCCTCCAACAATTACCCATGCCCAAAGGCAGAAGAGGTAATAATTGTGTTTGTGAAGTAGCTATGGTAGCCCACCTTTTGGAATTACCATGAATGAACATGCCTTTCTCAATTAGAACATGAGAACCCACGGGCCCAGAAACGCTTGGGGAGAAAAAGATTCATAAAAACCAATGAATCATATATGTAGTTTTATACCGGATAAAATTATTATGTTTAGAAGGAGAAAACATCAATTTCACTAACAAGATAGGAACTGACTTGGAGAAAACCGAAAGGTTAACCGCAGGAGGCCAGGCATATGTGTGTAGCATATTAACAGCTGCATAGGTCAAGGATCAGGAATGCTGGTGATGAGAAGCAGCCTTGGAAAAAAATCAACTTCATCTACTATTCAAAGAGAAACAAAACGAGAAAGCAAATCATTGCTCATTGCTGTAGGAATTTAATAAGTAACAGCCAATTGCTATTCTACTCCATGAAGAGAATCGGTCCTTTTGGCTTGGTGGAATATTATGTGTTCTGGGTGCCTTAATAAGAAAGAGAAAAAGTCTTTAATGACTTTGGGAGGTTTTGTACTGCTCTTTTGAGAGTTGTTGCAGCGGTAATAGACCAGCATTGGGTTATTCTTAGCTGAAATAAGAATTTTCTTACCTTAAGAAGGACTTTGGAAGAACTGACAACTAAAGAATCACTGTCCTGTGTTTTTTGAACCAGAAAAGGAACATATTTAGGTATGGTGGGTTGTGAGGGAAGACTGACAGCTCTGAAAGGAGAATGTACGAGGGAAGAAGACCTAGGCCAAATTCAGAGGGTAGCGTCCCCTCAGAGAGTTTCTATTTCTGATCTAAGAAATAGGAACAATGATGTTGTTTGTTTATCCATAAGGCAGTGATAAACTTGAAATTGGAGAAACCATGCCGACCTAAAGACACACTGTTAGAAATAACTGCCCTCTTGCAAGTAGGACAATCAGTCCTGCCAGCTTCGCAGAGAGAGGTGGTCTTATTGGCAGTTTGTTTGGGGGGCCTCTGAGCTGGCCTCAAGCCGTAGAATCACTGTTCCAGAACTGTACTCTCAGCACATTGAACACGAGCATGGTGTTAACTATTCGAAAGCATAGCTTCTAACTGCAGAGTGAAGAGGGGTTTTCAGAGCCCTAGCTTGTACTCACCAGAGGAGGTGGTGTCATGCAAATAAAGGCACAGTTGATGTATTTGGGAAGGAATAGAAAGAAAGTGCTATAGGTCCCAGAATCAAAGGACACCATGAAAGTGCCATTTCTTTAGACACTTAAAAATCCTGGAAAATATAAACCAAATAAAAAGGAGATGAATTTGTGCCTTTTCTATTTTATATATAGGAATCTTTAAATTTAGAGAAAGAGGGAATGGGTGCTATTAAACCGTATTAAGTTTTTTTAAAGATTTATTTATTCATGGGGGGGAGGGGCAGAGGGAGAGGGAGAGCGGAAGCAGACTCCCTGCTGAGTATGGAGCCCCAACGTAGGCTGATCCAGGACTCTGAGATCATGCCCTGAGCTGAAACCAAGAGTCCGATGCTTAACCGACTAAGCCACCCAGGCGCCTCTAAAACGTATTAATTTTTAATACTTTACTTGGAAATATGTTTTAATTTAGCTACGGTGTGACTTTTCTCAAAAGCTGTAAATGATAGTAACTCAAATATTTCATTCATTTTTGCTTTTGTTCTATCTCTGCCCCTTAACATCTTTACAAAAGGGCAGGTAGAATAAATAAATTTAAGTGAGATCTTTATTTAATTTGCTTAAGGAAGCTGTTTAAAAATATGTACTATTTTATCTTTTTTGGTGAAACATATACATAGAAAAGTGCATGAAATATATATATATACTGTTTAACAAATAATCAGGAAGTGAACAGTGTAACTACTACCAAGGTCAAAAAGTAGAACATACCTCCCTTGTTCCCTCCCTGGCCAACTCCAGTTTGTTTGTCCTAAGGTAACAAAGTCACAATTAAATTCTTAAAAAACACTTTCAGGGGCGCCTGGGTGGCTCAGTTGGTTAAGCGACTGCCTTCGGCTCAGGTCATGATCCTGGAGTCCCTGGATCGAGTCCCGCATCGGGCTCCCTGCTCGGCAGGGAGTCTGCTTCTCCCTCTCCCAACTCCCCCTGCTTGTGTTCCTGCTCTTGCTATCTCTCTCTGTCAAATAAATAAATAAAATCTTTAAAAAACAAACAAACAAAAAACTAGTCTTTACAGGGGCCTATGAGCCCTATGTAAGCCCCATGTGACATGATCCTCCCCGCCTCTCCAGCCTCAGCTCCACTCCATACATTGGCTTTTACCTGTTCCTCAGTCATACCGCACACATGCTGCCTCACAGGTCTGTCTTTGCTGTTCCTTTTCTAGGCAATGCTGATCCCTCGAGTCTCTGCTCACATGTCACTGCCTAAGGGAGGCCTTCCCCGATCACCCTGTATAAAATGGCCCATGTACTCCCAGTGGTCTTC